TTGACTTCTCTGATTTCTTCTTTAAGAAGATTGACTTCTGACCGAAGCTCATTTATAGATGGTTCTTCCTTCTTATTTTCAAATCTATTCATAATCTTTATCATACTGAAAGGAGTTATACTTGTAGTAACCTCTTTTTCTTTTCGATTACTAACTAGTTTTTGAAGTTTCAATAAATAACTTCTTCGAGCATCATCATCTTTGATATGCTCAATTGTTGCAAATAAGATTTCAGCTGAATATTAGAGATAACCCTTGTTGACTGATTGTCGCATAGGCAAAAAGCTCCTTCACAGTTGCACTCTGAGCTACTGTCATCTGTGTTTTGAGCTACATTAAGAAACTCTTCGTATTCAGTTTCACTATCAGAAGAGGATTCAGGTTCTGACTCTTCTTCGTCTAAGATAGAGGGAAACTGCTTCTTAGTTTCTTCATCTACTTCAAGAAGGTTGATCTTCTTCTTTTTTCTTTTGTTTTTGAGACAATCAAGGGACTTATGGCCTCCTTTGCCACAAGTCCAACACTTATCCTTTTGAGAAGTTTGTTTACTTCTTTTTTTAAAGTGTTTTTTCTTTCTAGAGGGATTTTTACGATCAGGCGATTTTCCAGATTGCTCTTTCTTAGAAACCTTTCTTGCAGAAGGTGGTTTAAGAATTGGAAATCCAAAGTCTTGACAGAAGCTGCCAAGCTCGGAAACTAAAAACTTTTGATCTTTCATAAGCTGTTCTTTTAGCTTAAGATCAGTGCAAAGCTCCATGGCTACAAACATAATTAAACTGATCAGATCACCATAAGAGATTTGTGAGTAAGGGATATTACCTTCAAATCGATCTCTTATTTTTTACCTTACTTTTTCGAAAAAGTGGGGAGGCAATCCACTAAGGAAGCGTTCTTTCCAATAGTCGTTGTTGCAATCTTCCCTTATCATCACTTTGGTTATAAACATATCTTTATATATATATAAGAAAAATTACTTAGTACCTATAGAGAATCAATAAATATTTGAATATCTCATGTTAATATCTGATATTAACATATCATGCTGTTTGCATAATACATGCATATCTTAGCATAAAAATGAAATTTCTACAAAAATCTTTGCATAGCATAAGAAAAAGAGGTTGGAAGCATAAAAGGGCTTTATTTCATATGGATAGAGCAATTTTCGAAATGGAACAAGTATATAGGCATACTGGTCATCAATATGATGCATTAATATTTTGTATACATGAAATGAAAATGTATAGAATACAAGAATATTTTGAGTATAAAAATGTTTTATCAATTTTAAAAAACTATATAGTTTTTACTGCTATATATATATATATATATATATATATATATATATATATATATATATATATATATATATATATATATATATATATATCTTTCAAGCTTTAAACTTATTTCCCAAAATCAGATTAAGCTTAAAATCTTTATTCAACTACATCTCTATCAGTCTTACACAAAATCAAATTTTTTATTTTTCGACCGTCAAATTCGCAATATTGCATGATTTTTGGAAAAAAATCGTGTTGTGTAGATTATCAAACAGGTTTATTTCTTAAAGTTTTTAATTTTTTCCCTGATTCTTTTGTCAAATTATTTAATTTTTATATGTTGTTTCTTGATTTTATATTTGTTTATGTTAAATTCTTTAATATTTATTTGTCTATAAATTTTTAGGATCTGGATTGTTGAATACAATGTATAAACCAAATACCCTAAGGAGATTCCCAAGAGGTACAAACTATACCAGTAACTTCATGGTTGAAATACCATCTTTTGATCTATGTATAACTCAAATTCAATTGCAAACCTCATGCTATACAGTTGCGATGGAATTAGAGAAGAAGTCGAATGATGAACTAGTAAGGTCTAGTCCTTCTAAAAGGAAAGTAATGTCAACGGTGAAAGCAATCGGAAAAAAATAATACAAGAGGAGGAAAGTAAAAAATTATGTCCCGAACATGATTGGAGAACCGGTTGTTAATGAAGAACAAGACGAAGTGAGTGAAGAATCACATAGTTCATCAATTTCTTCTTCTTCTTCTTCTTCTCTTCTTGGTGTGTGAAACCAAGAGATGATTTTGACTTGTCACAAAAATCCAGTAGTAGAGATCTTGTAACACTTATGTCTGCATGTTGTATAAAATATATTTAACTATATATATCATAATATATTAACTGTTATTTTTAACGTTAGTATGCTTAAATGAATATTTGTTTTTTATTAAATGTGTATGATTTTTGTATAAATTTCGATTGCAATATGCAAAAATATATGAACATTGTATGAAAAATGTATAAATATTGTATAAATTATGAATGTCATATTGAACTTTGATATATGTAACAGAAACAAATGATATATATATATATATATATATATATATATATATATATATATATATATGAATATTATATGAATACTATATGAATATTTTATGAATGGCGGTAAAGTTCAATGTTTATATATAATGTATAAACATTGTATGAATTATGAATCTCATATTGAACTTGGATATATGTAACAGAAATAAATGGTATATATATGAACATTGTATGAATACTATATGAACATTTTATGAATGACAATATAATTCAATGTATATTTATAATGTATAAACATTGTATGAATTATGAATGTCATATTGAACTTTGACACATGTAACAGAAACAAATGATATATATGACTTTTTTTATGAAATCAAACTTTATAAATGTCAATGATAACAACTCCACTCAATAAAATAAAATGTGTTTTTAACATTCAAAACAACACAATAACAAATGTAACATTATGAATCATTGTTATTGCACATGATAATTTGAACATGTCTTTCTATTGTGTCCAACTTGACGGCATCTACTGCAAGTCATTTTTGTCATTTTGAATTTTACGTCAGCAAACCCCTTCTATCTTTCAAGTTTTGGTATACCCGCTGTACGAAATTAATACAAAACATATATTCTAAATTCATTAGAAACATATACTGTAATTTTGAAAAAAATGGACTTTCATACACAAATGATACACGTTTCGTATAAACTATTAAAAAAAATTCAGACTTCAACGTTAAACAAATTTATAACCAGTTCATATAATTCATACACACTTCATACACAGTTAATATATCATTCACTATTCTATACAATACTCAAATTAAACAAACACAATACATTTTCAATACAAAATTAATATAAAAACATATATTATAATTTAAATAGAAACATATATTGTACGCCAAAATTTATCAGGTTACTAAATAAAAAGAAGAGAAATATGCAGCTATGAAAATATTCTTGAATTTTATGAAAAAATGACTTATACGTTGAAAGCAATCTGAAAATAATCGTGAAATTTTGGAAAGAAGACTACTTGTAACGTTGATCCAAATATGTTTGAAAATGACAATCTGAAAGTATTCTTGAAATTTTAAAATATTTGTTATTATCTGGTTGAGTTTTTTAAGGAATTAATTCAAAAAAATAATATTATTTTAATTAACTAGAGATATTTAAGGCAATGATGATAATTTGAAAATGTTTAATATCCCTAAAAATGTGCTAATCATATATTTAACTTTAATTAAACTCCCTAAAAAGTGTAACTATTCATATTAAAAATGTGATACCTGCATGCAGCAATTAATAAGAAACAAAAGTAATGCTTATAATTTATCTACCCTTAATTGAACTCAATAAAAAGTTAAACTTTTCAAATTTTCAGACGTGCAACATTGAATAAATGCAGTAATTATGACTGACAAAAGTCATTTAATTTATATTGTCATAAATTTTTAATCATTAAAATTAATTACTCATTATCAATTTATCTACTTAATTTTTTAATTAATTTTTAATAACAACTCTTTTTAATAAATTATAGTTAACAATATAATTACTAATAAAATGTTATAGAGTGAAACATTAAATGCTACAAAATAAAATTAAAACTCTAATATCATAACTTGATAATAATACTACATATAATGCTATATACAAAATTTACTCTATATTTAATTTTGTAAGATAAATATAAGGCCTGCTAAAAAGTTATTTGAGATTAAAAAATTCCTCTTTCCCACTTTCCATTAGATGAGTATCTTTTTCTTCTTTCTTATTTCGTCTTTAGAAATTAGGATGAAGAAGAAAGAAAAAATAGTAAACTTAATTTTGCAAACTTGAATTCTTTCATTTAGATCACTCTCCTAGCCATTATTTACTCATTTAATTGTTTTAGTGAGTAATTTGACCGGTATCAATTTATTCACTAAAATAAATATGCTTAATATATGATAATTAAAATAAAAAGTTAAAAATAATACTTTGGGTGGGAGTGCATCATTTGTGTTACTCTCTGCGTTTAAAAAAAATGACCTAATTTAATTTAGAATGAAGCTTAAAAAAAGAAAGAAAACGTATTATGTTAAATGTACAAAAATATTGTTTAATCTTATAATTTTAAATATGTCATGTGAAAAGCTAAAATTAAAGTATTGAAAAAAAATATATCATTTCTTTCAAATATTCTTTTAAAGAGAATAAAAAAAAATAAGGTCATTTTTTTAAAAACAAATGGAGTAGTAAATTTGAAAACAAGAGTCACATTGGTTGTCTCAACTAAAGTAGTCCCTTCTCAATCACCGCTAAGTGCTTTGGAGGGTAGTGGATTAACGAGTATGCCTCTCTATATTCAGAAAACGACTACTCCTCTCACTTGCATGTGTTATAAAGTTGCTTTTGAGTTCTGTTTATTTAATTTTATAAAGATTCAAGAATGTCTTTATCGTATTAAAAATTGTTCAAAGTGTCATTTTTAGCTATTAAATTAATTTTGTCCTTTTCCTATTTGTTGGGCTAAACATATTTTTGACGTATTAAACATGGTTTATAAATATTTTTCTACTCATTGGATAAAAAATATCACTAACGCATAGAAAATGTAGTTTAAATTTGTCCTCCTTCTATCTACTAGATAAAAATTCCTTTGTCATTAGAAATGGCTCAAAAATATTTCTTACTTCTTATTATATATGTCAACTTTAACAATTACTTAGTTTTCTTTTGATTTTCATATTATTCTTGGAAAATAATTACTTGTTTGTCTTATGTCATAATAGAAGCATTTGTTTCAAATAACATATATGAACTATCATGTAAATTAATTCGAATGTATGTTGTATAAAAGCATTGTCTTAATTGATAGAAGGAAGTTCAATTTTTTTTGGCAGAAAGGATATATTATATATAAGTTAAAACAGTACACGATTACTATTATAGCTAGTGATTACAGATAAGTTCTCGTAACTAGCTAACTTACTACAGGATGACCTAAATATTTGCTTAGTAGTTAGAACTCCTTCTTGATCTGCTTTGAGAAGTTCCATTGCAGCTTCAGGCGGAGTATGTAGAATATATGATTGAGGGGTCATTGTTAGCTGAGAATATATCTTGCACACAACCAATATTATTGATATTAATACCCATATCCAACCAGAATTTCTTGGCTATATAACAATCGTTGAAAATGTGACTAATGGTTTAATTTCCAATGTGACAAACTTGACAAACCAAGTTTGGCACGATATTGATGTAGTGTAGGTATGTTATGATTGGCAGCCGTCCGTGCGCACAGAGCCAAAGGAAAAAATTTAGTTTTTGAGATGTTCTCAAGTGCCATATCCAAGGAAAGGAAAGGATCTAGAAGATTGAGAAGCTAGAAGATGTCTTACCGATAGGGCAGAAAAGATACCGCTGGTGGTATTAATCCAATAAGGGATGTCGAAGTCTCTAATTTCGTCAGTGAGGCTAATTTTTGAGGCCTTAGAAAGGAAATCAGGAGGTAGTTCAAAAGAGAGTATGATAGAATCCATAATTCTACTACAAGAATAATCAATGTTTTGATGATAGACAAGAAAGTGCAAATAATAAGTAGCAGCAAAAGAAGCCCAGATCGAGTAAAATGGGTCAGCCAAGTAATCAAGAAAATAGAGTTATTTGTCAAAGCCAAAAATAATATATTAAAGGTATAAGTTGACACAAACAAGGAAAACCTTAAATATATTATTAAGGAAGGAAGTTGTATATAATAAGGATTGTACCTTAAAAGGGAATCCTTGTTCAACAATAACTTCCTTACCTTATCTGATAAGGATTGAAGGCAAAAGAAACTCTATAAGAAGAGGACGACGCTGATGAAGAATCTCACGACTTCACAGAGAGAGAAAAGAGAGATTTATTTATCGAATAGAAGTCTTCAAGATCGATAGGTTTGCTAAGTTTAAAACGTTCTTGAGTGAGAAGGTTTTCAACGTGTAAAACTATCTTCTTGTTTTGTTCTTGATTGTAAGTTACAATTTATTGTACAAAGGGTGGGTTTGGCTCTTTGTAGGGTTGAGTTTCAGTGAGGGTTGTAACAAAAGGTGGGTTTGGCCTTTTGAAGAGATCGATTGTAGTCAATCGAGAGAGGTAGTAGAGATAAAGGCTTTTTGATTATTGAGTTGTAATCACAAAATCATATAGTTGAATTAATAAAATGAGGTTTTTCCTTCCTTAAGTGAGGAAGGTTTTTAATTTAATAAGTGTTTGTGTCTTTTTTTAAAAGCAACTTACAAGAACCTGGTTTTTGTTCAGGGGTAAGGTTTCTTCAAGAGTTTCGACCAATCCCAAGCGGAGCCCGTCCAAAAATTAGAGAGCTTGAGGTGATATTCTCCTTTCATAAGAGGACCATGAAGCAGATTTCTAAGGGGAGGAGTATCGGAAATCCAACGATGATGCCATATATTGATGGATAGGCCAGACTTAGGGGACCAACCAATTCGCTTCCCTGAAGAATATAATGTTCTTCCAAATGAAAGGTTGGAAATTGGCGTAGGCTCTGTCTTTGTATTTTTGGGTAAGGGTTGTTGCCCACTGAGACTTGCTGGTAGTGAGAATTCTCCGTGCAAGGCTTGTAAGAAGGATTTTGTTCTTAGTTTCATCGCTTTGCAGTCCTAGACAACCATTTTCTTTTGCAGATGTGATATTATCCCACGCAACATAATGAAGCTTTCGTTTATGGATAGAGGACCACAAAATAAAATCTCTCTGTATTTTATCTATAGTGAGTCAGATCTTCTTTCGAAGTAAAAATTATTTCATGGTATAAGCCGAGATGGCATTGAGGGTAGTCTTAGCTAGTCTAACGCGACCAACTATCGTCATGAATTGAGTTTTCCAGTTGGAGAGCTTTTTCTTCATGTTATCAATAATGTATTGAAAATCCTTGGGTGTAGGCTTTTGAGAAAGAATAGGGAAGCCAAGGTTTCCCAAATTGAGAAGGAGTTATACTCAACATGTTTTTGCAAGATCTTGCGCATTGTCTTTGCAGTGAAGAGAGTAAATGGCCTTAGATATGACTAGAAAAAAGGCATAAGTCATTCAAGCATCTAGAAATAGTTTGTAAGGATTTGGAGGTTCCTTTTGTAATCAAAGTTACTTCATCTGCAAAAAATAAATGAAAAAAAAAAGAGGTCCATGAGTTGAGAGTTGGATCGGATCCCACCGGGGAAGATCCACCTGGTAGTGGATATAGGCGGAAAGAAGTTTCATACACATTATGAAGATGTATGGGAACATAGGGCCCCTTGCCTTATTCCCCTAGAGGGAGAGAAGTAAGGGGTTTGATTACCGTTAACTAAGACAGCAATGCTAGAAGTGGTCATACAACTCATAATGAGTTTGCAGATTTTTGGAGGAAACTTGAAGTAAAGTAAAGTACGGTGGAAGAAGGACCATTCGAGTCGATCAAAGGCCTTCTCAAGGTTAATTTTTAACATGACCATACCCTTTTTGCTTTCAGTATGTTGAAGCTTATTTAGGAGCTCTTGGACTAATATTGCGTTATCGCTTGCCCTCCAACCTTCAAGAAAACTAGTTTGACAAGGTCCAAAATTTTTTTTTTATATATAAAAAATATATTTCATTATATATGCCCATAAAAAGATATTTTTTAAAGAATAAATTTATCACTTAATATAGTTTATATAAAATCTCAATAGTTTAAAAGACTAAAATTATCTATTGAAAGACTAAAACTATTAGATAATAGAAAAAATATATAACTAAGATGCTAATAGAAGTAAAACAAATTTAAAGATTGATCAGTTTTCATTTATCCAAATTTGAAGGCTAAAATAAATTTTAAAAATATTTTGATAGTATAAATATATTATATTTATTAATAAGATTGAACGAAATGCGGGCATATTAAATACTAATATTTAATAGTTAAAAAACATATTGTGTTGGTAGGAGAGCAAATTTGAATAATTTCTAATAGGTTAAAGGCTATTTTTTATTCAACACGTGAAATAAAAGTATTTTTGAATTATTTCTATACGCTAAAGATATTTTTAACTCAATGGCTAAAAACAAGACATTTTAAAACTATTTTAATATGTTAAGTGTTATGAAACTATATGAAATTAGAAGAAGAAGAAAGTAGGGAGAAGAGAAAAGACTTTTTATTCATATTGAAGTATATTCAAGATTCATTGATCTTTCACAAATCTTTTTTACAATGAAGGAAAACCCTTTATTTATAGAGAAAACCTTACTTGGTCCCCCAGTAAGATTCCTAACCATATCCTACTAGGACTCCACATAATTAGACATTCACTATAATACAAATTGTTTATAATACTCCCCCTTGAATGTCGATAGATTATGTGCCTCGTTAAAACCTTACTAGATAAAACCCAGTGGGAAAAAAATCTAGTGAAGGAAAAAGAGTACACATATCTAATAATACGCATTATGGATGCCTCATTTAAAATCTTACAAGGAAAACCCAATGAGACAAAACCTTGTGAGGGAAAAAGAGTACATCGCGTATTAACTCCCCCTTATGAGAACATCAATTCAGAGACTAGAATCTTCGTTTTCCAAGCTTGTGCATCATCTTCTTGAAAGTTGCAGTTGATAGAGACTCGGTGAATAAATCAACAATAATGTTACTTGAACATACCTCTTGCATATTGATATCACCATTCTTGGGAGCTCATGAGTAGAAAAATCTTGACGAAATATGTTTTCTTCTATGTGCTTTTATGAATCTTTCCTTGAAGATCAAATATTTCTGCAAGTTCCTTACTTTAACTTCTTTAAGCAAATAATCTATTGCCTTTTGAAAACTCTTCAAGAGTTTCAATTCTAGTTATCAACTTGCCCAACAATATTTGTATATGCTTCATGCATTTTGAATCGATTTAATTCTTATAAAGATTATAAACAAGTTCTCCAAAAACTTGCACATACTTTAGATTTTGAATCCTTCATGACTTTTCATATTAATTTTGTCAAGTGATAACATTCAATATTAAATGTATGATATATTCTAGTGACTAGATTGCAAGTCATATAAGCTTTACGCTTACCAAGATGCATCATTTCACTTTTCACTTGATAATTATTTCTACACAAGCATGCTTTAATACATGTAGAATTCATATCCTCATAATCTTTTACAATATTGCGCGCTATTGTATCAAAGATATCGTTAACGATATACCTTTTGTATCGATTCACAATACGACAAAACTTATTGAGATCTCATCACTTCATTATTTTTAGCTAGCTATTCTCTCATGAGGTTTCATAAAGTGTTATGTCGTAGGCTCTCCAGAGCACATTATCTCCTTATTATGATCATTTTGATTCTTTGATCCTCCCCTTTTTTCAAGGATTATTTTATTTAGAATTAATTAGTTTATCATGCTTCATGTATGTCATAGACTTTATCCTTAAGGGACATTCAATAGGAGTATTTACAACTTTTGTGTTGCTTCTAATCTCCCCCTTATGTTAGGCAACCTAACATATATCTCAATCTTTTGGAGAATCTATCTTTGTGCATCATAATATATTCATTAAATATATATTGCACATCAAAATTATCAGATGAAAACTATTTGGTCACTGACCATAAACCAATTAACATAAAAATTGATCATAACTTATTGGTTTGATTCATACAATTATGTTTGTATGTCATATCTTATTTCATATCAACATATAAAACTTTATTTTCGTAAACAATGATTTTACTATTTGAGACATGTAGTGTCACATCATCTTGAGTATTTATCATTATTACCAAGATAAATTCTCTTGATTACACATTCTGAAATTGTGCTCTTAACTAAATTATTTTTGCACAAACAATTTTGTGAATGTCAAACTACATGTTGACAACAAACGCACATGTGATTATCTTGTAGATGCATCTTTTTATCATATCACATAATAGGTGAATGGGCCCATATTCACCTTTTATACTTTTCAGAATTTAGAGATTTAATCTCAACATTAGTTGACCCAATCAACTTGTAATGAGAACAAACAACAAAAGAATTCTTGAAGAATCTTCAAATTTTTCAATGTATGTCCATTACTCAGTATGCATATCTTTGGGATAACCAAATTATTAATGCCAACTAATAAAATTATTAGTACTCGTAAACTCTAAGTTTACTATGTCATGTGCCTTTTGCTTTAGTAAATTTCTGATTTACTATTATATGAGTAAGTTTCAATTTTATTATTTTAAGAGTAATTTTCAGATTTATCACCCTTTAGGTAAGTCATGATCCCATCATTGAAAGAACTAATCTGAAGAAAATTGTGCATGTAACATATTATTTGTGCCAACATTTTTGCAAACATCAAGTTGCGAGATAATAATAGGCACACATGAGATCATATACAAGAAACATTTATTAGGACCATTAAATGTCTAAACAATCCACTGGGTGGATGACTAGGTCCACAAATATTTGTATACGTTTCTAGAACACAGAGAATTCAATCTCAACTTTCGTTTATGATGGTCTCACAATTATCTTGCCTTGCTAACAATCATTACAAGAAAATTCACGTCTAGCATGGTGGCTTATCACCGCATTTGCTTTAAAGAATGGATCTGTATTTTTACCATTTATCAAAGGCTCTCATTCTTCATGAATGGAACACAATCATCTAAGTACATCAAATTTTAATAATTTAGTACCTCATTCCATATTCATGTGCATCATTTAATCAATTGTCTTCTTTTAGACATTTATGCACTGTTACATTCTCTTTGGAGAATGGTTCTGCTTCAACGAGATATATTTCATGACTAATTTTATCAAAAGACATTATTTCCCTTAGTCATCATTATATCATCAATATGGTGCATTGAGACTCAAACCCAACGTCTTATGCCATAAATCAATGAGGGACTTAAACCCAACATCTTTCATCACAAAGTATCAAGACTCCTGATATCTTACCCTCTTGGTGCGATTGGACGTAAATCCATCGTCTTATTCTTTTGGTGCGATAAAACTTAAATTTATCGTCTTACCCACAATGAGGCTCAACCTCAAGCCTTCAAAATAATTGTAATTTTACCACTTTTGATGACCATTAATACGATTGTACATTATAATTACACACAGAATTGAGATTATTGAATTCTTATAATCAACATTAGTAGTTAATAAATATAGCTTAATAGATCACATACCTCATATAAAGGTTGAAAACATACCTTTCACTAAATTGTACTTATTTAATTATTAAAATAAATTAAGAAATTCTCTTTCGAATCGATTAAAATTAAACGTATAGAAAGTCAACAAGACTCTTTAAATACTTATTTTAGATGGTATCTCCAGATCTGTTATATAAATAATTATAACATAAAGATAAATCATACCTTGAAGATATAAGAACCTTATTGTATAACTTATTCAAGATATCTTTTGCACTTTTTTCGTCTTCTTCATCATTCTTTAAGAATAGAATAATCGTGCTGATAACGTGTTATGAAACTATATGAAATTAGAAGAAGAAGAAAGTAGGGAGAAGAGAAAAGACTTCTTATTCATCTTGAAGTATATTCAGGATTCATTGATCTTTCATAAATCTTCTTTACAATGAAGGAAAACCCTTTATTTATAGGGAAAACCTTACTTGATCCCCAAGTAGGATTCCTAACCATATCCTACTAGGACTCCACATAATTAGACATTCACTATAATACAAATTGTTTATAACATTAAGGACATTTTTGAACCATTTCTAATAGGTTAAAGGATCATTTGGCTGGGAACTAATTATCCCATAATTAACTATCTTGGGATCAGTTATTCTGATCTTGGGATAATTTATTCCATCACTATGCTATAAATGGTGATATAAGTCATCCCAAACATGTCAATCCATCAAGACATCTAAATTTTATGCCATTACTATTTGTTGATCCAATAGGTGGAAAAAGTGTATTTTTGAACTATTTCTCTGAGTTAATAGCATTTTCAAC